CTCGTATAAGTGATAGGGCTTATTATTATATCGGATAGACTTTTTGATGTTGTCATGTTATACTTGTTGGTGTCTGTATATTATTTATTCTATATCATATTTTATTGTGCTGACTTGTTCGATGTCTTCGGCTATTCTTTTCTTATTATTATAGATACCCTCTACACTCTTTACACAGGAATTTACAGACTTTTGAAAAGTCCAGAAAAAACTTATCGAACACGTAGCATTCTGGAATTAATTACATTGATTTCCAGCTGTTCGGATTGGCTCTGTTTAGCCAGACATTAAACTATTTATTTTTTCTTGAAATACGTCACTCGAAGAAATTATATGATGACGAGATACGGAAAGAAGATGGTGTCAGGAGAACGAGCATACTTCTTGGGAGAAGCATCGAAAATTGGAGCATCAGAAATGCGGACGTCGGGAGAGCGTTGAATGAAGTTAGGGGATGTCAAAGAATTAGAGAAAGAGTGGTTGAAGCCGCAGAAGCCGTTGGGAAAATAGAAAGAATGAGGGGAGCGAATTTTCAAGTAAGAATCGTTGAGCAATCAGGGTTTAACGTTTCGGGTGCTTCGGACAATTTATTTCATGCTTCCTATACTATGGTTTTTGAAATTTTAACATTCTCAAGTTCAGTACTAGTTTATCTTTTTTTATTTCCCGGTCCACTTTAGTATCTCATCGTATTGGTTCCATTGATTCGTTTCCACAACTTGAAGCCTTCTTGCGTATTAACGACTCGTCATTTCAATTGCATAGTTGCAGACGAAGATCAACAATCGTCCCATCACAAGTTTCTGTCACTCTAGTTTCACCTCGTTTCGCACCATTGCCTAAACTCCAGCATCAGCAATTCGCACGTCTCATTCCTCGGAACCGCCGTCCCTATCATCGTCGCCTTCTTCGACTACTTCAACATTATCCCAATATTCATCACCATCATCTGTATCACTATCGTTCTCCCAGTCTATATGATATGATCTCGGTACACCTATCAGTATTTGTTGGAAATGTTGAAGATGATGAGGTGGAAGATGATGAGGTGGAATCCAAAAACGCGGAACTGAGAAATGAAAGTAATGCGAATGTCATGGGAATGAACACCATTAACAACCTATTGCCTTCCTTGATCTTGCCGACGTTTGCTGACATTGTCGGTGTTTGTTTCGTCATTTAAACATTGACATTACGCAGTTTTCTCTCAGGTAGCTTAATCCTTTCGTATCAATTTTTTGGAAAAACTCAAGCCCTTCTCTCCAACAAATCATTTCCATTAACAGTTATTCCGTATTCAAAAAAAAAGATGCCCCCGCCGGCCTGTTGAGGAATTCACTTGTTATGAGTTCGAACCTTCGGATAGAATCGCGAGGGCTAACGATTGCTGGAGAATGACATCGTATTCAAGATGGATGTTTGAGTGAAAAGATTAAGACTGGAAGAGATAAGCCTATAAGTATGTTTTTTGTTACTTCTCGTCATGAACGAAAACAGTCTTTTCAGTAGTTTTCTGATTAAATGAGTTTATGAAAACTATAATATTAACAACTTCATTATATATGCAATCGTTCAGCCACGGCAACTGAAGAAGGGAGAACGCTTTCGAATGCCTTGAACCTTTCCCACGCGCGTCTACATTGCGACTGAAATAACAAACAGTTTTTCTGGGAAAAATATCCGGACGAAACGGCGCAATCGACTGTGGAACCAATTGCAAAATCTGAAAGCACATATTCGAACGACACTGTACTATATAAACGGGAGAAATACTTTAGTCGGTCAATCACATATAACACAATAAACGAGATGATGTTCCGTGCACTCGAAGAATCACTTACATTCAAGTGATAAGAGAGGGAAGGTATAGAAGATTATATTGGTGTGCGCTTAGAAGGCACAGACGGGCAGGGCTATGTAGTGCATTTGCCTACGTTACTAAAGGGATGACTGAAGCACCAAGTACAGATATTCGGCGTTTTACCTTCCCATTTACTGCATGATCTGACAAGCCTGAGAACAAGATGGAACTGAAAAAGGGATTTAGCCTGAATTATAAGTGTGGGATATGGAACAGGTGCGTAAATCCAAATCCAAATCAGAAGTATTTGCAACTAAATTTCACATTCATCAGACGTGATCTCTGATAGTAATTATCGTTTATTCTATAACATGTAGAAACCGTTGGAATAGTTAAGATACGAAAAACACCATCTTGTGTCAAGGAACAGACCGCGTTTTTCGACTGAAGAGTGTGATTAAGTATTCTGAATTAGATATAGAGATCCTTACTGGCGATGTGTATTATTGGATGGTGTATTTCTTGGAAATATTGTTTTCATAAAATCTAATTACTTTGCTACCTCCTTTGCCACCGGCGATCAGTTTTTGCCATCATCGTTCAAGTTATTGTCTGAAACTAACTGATAAGCAAATTCATCAATGTTTTGCTTTGACTCTGTTATTTTCATCCCTAATTTTTTTGATTAGGATAAACCTTTCTTTCGATTCGTTAACATTCTATTTTCTTCACCACACAAATTAAGTTTGGCAAGTAAAAACAAATAGTTTATATGTTACACAATAAGAACACGCTTATATATGCATTGAAACATACGTGGGCGGTTCAAAAAGTTTTGACACAGAGGCTATCAAAATTTTATTTACATAATAAACATCAATCTAAC